AACACATAGGCTATAATTTTAAAAGATACAATAAAAGTACAAAAATACTTAAAAGTACAATGTATGTTTATAGCTAATTGCCAACACTATTATATATTAAAACTATGAACTACATATATAAAGACAACTAGATTCTGATTTTATTCATTAGAGAAGGAAAAGCGTTTATGTAGACTATAAAATCTGGGACTCAAAACTGTATATATATGCGAAATAACAGTATTTAGTCCAATTTGAATTCATACAAAAATCTGTCCTCGGTCAGAAATAAAGAAATATTGGAACATAATAATAATAACATACTTGGACGATTCACACAGCGCCATCTAGTCCCAAGCTAAGCAGAGCTTATGTTATGGGTACTAGACAATATTATAAATAGAAAACACCCAAACTAATACAAACAATCATATTCAAGAATATAAATGTTTGTACCGTGTGAGTAGAACCTGCGACCATCGGAAGGAATGCGGTCTGCTATGAACTCAAATTGATATGAATGAACTCAAATTAGTTAACATGTCATAGTCAATTTACTCGATGATTTCCAAGGAAGTTATATTTGGTCCTTTACATGGTACAAGACCCTACTTTTTGTATTCACTAACAGCAACATTGAACTGTTCAAATAATTCACAAAAATCTATATAAAGCTGACTGTACCCGATTGAAATAAATTCTTTTCAATTCAATAACAACTCTATATCGACTCTATTCAGTGGTCTAGCGTTTTGCACACTGCCTTACTTCTAATTCTTCTTCGGTTACGAGTTCGATTCCTCGCACGGTAGAAACATTTATATTCATGAGTATGATTGTCTGGGTGTTTTGTACATTTACAAAAAAAATGTATATAAGTATCAGTTGCTTAGTACCCATAACACAAGCTCGGCTTAACTAGAGTATGATGGTGTGCTAACCCCCAAGAGGCTTGTTGCCTGTGCTATCCTGTGGGCCTATCCTGTCCTGTATCCTAGGCCTGTGCTCAACAAAACTTTACAAACTGAATAGGAAACGCTACTACATACCCAATGTGGTTGTAGCTCACTCATGCATAAACGATATAACTCTTTTGGAAAGTACTCACCCTATTCTGAAGAGATAAAAACCATCACTCCTAAGAATATCTTTCAATTCTTGTCTCTGACGGGTATAGGTAGCGAATTCTGAAGTAGGCGAGAACAATAGATCTATAGACCATGCCTCTCAAAAAAAAATGGGAAAGAGGATTGATAGCCATTGCTAGCAGTGCACCATGACCTCCATGCGGTTCCACCCGGAAACCATCGTGATAAATTCCTGGTGTACCTTCTTCTTTCTTTAATAAAGAATTATAAATAAATAAATTAATTCCTGGTGAGTTGTCACTATGGGCTAAATGACCTGACCTCATGTACATCTTATTATCCTCCACCGGTGCCCTATCAGATAAGCATGAACAATTTTCAGCAACTAAATTAATAGATTTCTTAACTACATAATTATTGATAATTACAATTAATCTCTCCGTAGGGGGAAGAAATTGTTAGGAATGGGGATTAGTGACCCCCAAACAATGATACCTACTCATTAATACAAATGTTCGGATTATGCAAAGGATCGAACCCTAGACCATTGGAAGTAAGGCGGTGTACTAAACCGCTAGGCTACCGTTACCGTCATAATTTGATAATGATAATTAATGCGCTCCATATTACACCTTGTATAATGTTGGTAACCAATAAGCAGGTTGCAAAGCGCGCGCCGCGGCGCCGGTCGGATGTATCATAAATAATGAATTATTGGATTTATTCCGCAAATGCGAATCGAACGCCCGCTGAGGGAGTTCCGTGCCTCGATAAGTGGTAGATTTAAAAAATAAATGGATTTAACGCGACTAGGTCACGAGAAATTTGCTTTCTTCTGGCATTGTCACGTCACGCCTTCTCATGTCACTTGCTGTCGTGTTAATTTTTTTCTTATACGTTTCTTGCAAAATGTTATTTGTAATGATGACAATTTGTTTCCTTTTTCTGTTTGTTTCAAAAATAGAACATGTTTTTTTGTAAACAATGTATAAATAATTTTGCTAAATATAATACGTTGATAATATCCTTTTAAACCTCACAGGGAATTTCTTACGGAAGGTTTTTATATATCGTCGGCCGAAAGGATCTAGCGGTTTAGCTCTTTACCGACAATGATCGCGGCTTCGAGAGTTTGAAATACACCTTACTCACCTGGGCGGGTTGCTAACTAATATTTATAAATGCTCTAATGAGTTTGTTTGTTTCACTCTCACACAGTTACCAATCGTCACATTAAAACCCATTGATTCATACGGGAAACAAACAGGTAAGATATAAGTAAACAGAATATATATGTATATTGTATATATTTTTTATACTACGACATTGGCAAACAAGCATACGGCCCATCAGATGGTAAATGAATACCCTAACCTACAGACCCCAGAAACATCAGGGGTGTTACCCCTGTTACACGTTGCGGACCCTTAAGAAACTTTAAAATACAGTTCTTGAAAAACCCCATTTTGTACTCTCGCGAGAAAACCTCGGCAGGTAGTTCATTCTACAATCTAAATAGAGAGGCAGCTTCACTGAAACCGCACTGTCCGAGACCACTTAGGTTAAGCATGTAGGGATGAGTTCCCTGTCGATGGCGAGCGATGCGATGGTTAAAGGCAGCCGTGGGCATCATGTCGACCATCATGGAGAGCACAAAGCATATGAGGTCTCGCTTCATATAATATACTGTTATAGTTTTACTATATGTATAAAATATTTTTATACCATACAAATTTATACTATGTTTTATAAGACCATTCTTTGAGTTTTTTTTCTCTGTTACCAAAGTTAATCAATCATGTAACGAGAACAATGTATATGATGTTAAAGATCTGAAAAATGAAATACCTAAATATCAGCCCCAATGATTTGTAATTGGTGATAATAATTGAGATTACTAACGTCCATATTTGCAATGCGTCGCTTAATACGGGACCCTAAAAATATCTCTTTTTAATTATTTCCTACAATAATGGACCAACGAGGTTCAATGTCTGTATTTTGCAATCTGTTTTCACTGGTAATGCAATACCAATAGATTTATGTAAGTTTATGTACTTAAACAAACAAGTTCATCAAACGGTTACACTCGTTGAAAACTCGATGTCAATTTGGGCTATTCTTGTTAGTTTTATCTATTTGTGTCTATACTTGTAATATTTCTGTCAACACTCGAGACCCTTCAATTAGTACCTCTCCAAAATAACATTTTTTACAATTTTGTCTGTCTGTCTGTTTGTTCCGGTTAACCTCTGAAATGGCTGAACCAATTTTGACGGGACTTTTTTTGGCAAGTAGCTGATGTAATAAGGAGTAACTTAGGCTACTTTTATTTAAAAAAAAATATATTTTAGAAAAATAAGGTTATATTCCGGACGCGAATAAGTCGCGGGAACAGCTAGTATATTAATATATTTATAATAACAATTGTATTGTATATACAACAATCATCAAATACGTGCTCTCCAATATCGTAAAGAATATATATATAGAATAAGCCAAATTCATGGAACTGAATGAAATTTTCTCAAGTAGTGAAGTGGAAAATTGATAACAATTTAAAACCTTCATACACACAGCGCATTCACTTGATCAAATTTACTATATGGAATTGAAATTTGAAATTCAATATTTATTTTCAGTTTTCAATTTTGTTGTTTGATGAAAGTTGGACTATATGTTTCATGAGTAATTTACTTGGGATTTATCTTGGTACCCTTGTATTACCATGAACGTTAAATATTAAGTTAAAAAAGTCGGCAACGCGCACAAGTAACCCTTGGTATTTCGGGCGTCCATAGTCTAAGGTAACCGTTGACCATCAAATGGTCCGTATACTAGTATGCCACCAACGTGGTATAAAAAATATATTGTCATATATAAAGATTAATATTAGTCAGTTGTTAGTAGTAGTCATTAATTTATAACAAGAGTAATTCCCATCATCATCATCATCTCAGCCCAGAAGACGTTCATTGCTGAACAAAGGTCTCCCCCAAAGATCTCCACGACGAACGGTCCTGCGCTGCTCGCATCCAATGCCTTCCAACGATCTTGACCAGATCGTCGGTCCACCTGCTGGAGGCCTTCCCACGCTGCGTCTTCCGGTCCGTGGTCGCCACTCGAGGACTTTACTGCCCTAGATTAATTCCCATTGCAATAAAATTTTGTAAAATTATTCCTCCCGCTTGCGACGACGATTCTTCATCCCTCGTGGATAGGATAGAGACCTAAGCTAAATTTTTACCTCGGCTCACTCCGAGGGTATTCACCCATGGGTCTTTAGATGTTACCTTCGTTCTAGTCTTCAACTTATCCTAGAGTATCTATTTTGAATTTTTTTCATGCTTTTTCTTTTATTTTGTTTTTCTAGATAGACAGATAATAGAGATGATATAGAGTAAGGGTCTTCAACCCGCGGCCCGCGGGCCACTTGCGGCTCGCCGATGTGTTTTCTGCGGCCCGCCAACATCACAGGCCCACTCTCAGTAACGACAACAATAAAGTAATAATGAGTATCTTTAATATAAAATAAAAAAATCCTTATTAAAAAACCTATGGTGCGTGCCATGGGTTTTTTATAAAAATTGTACAGAAAAAAAATTTTTTTGGCTCTCGATTTGTAAAATGTTGAAGACCGCTGATGTAGAGTTTATTTGTATTAAACAATGATAGAAAATAGTGTTTAAATACACTAAAGAAATGTATAAATATTTATTTTAGTACGGTGGTGTTTGCTTTTCTATTTTTTTTAATACGTATACTATAATCCTAGTAAAATTAATGTAATATAATTAATATTAACTTGCAGTAGATGGCGTCATACCAAAGAATAATCACTACAGAAATGCACCGGGTATCACCTCATAATAAACAATAAAAAACTATATATTAAGCAATTTTTAATATTAATTCAATATATTAATTGTTTGAAATTCATCTACAATACAGTGGTAACGTAGTAGTAATTCTTCTACCAACTAAAGGTAGGGAAACTACCAAACCACATGCTCTATTTACTGTACAACGTTAACAACAGGCACTTCCTCAGGCTGGTCGGAGCCGAGGGTCTCGATGGCGATCCAATCTCTGTAGCTGGCAGGGTTCAGGAACGCTGTGATATTAAAATAGAAATATATGTAATAATAATAATATACCCTGGACTATTCACACAGCGCCATCTAGCCCCAGAGCTTGTACTGCCAACTGATATAAATACGTAGATATTTTTTTGTAAATACATACATAATATACATAGAATATACCCAGAGCAATACAAACAATCATACTCATGAATGCAAATGCTTGTACCGTGCTAGGAATCGCACCCGCGACCATCAGAAGTAAAGCGGTGTGCTGAACTCCTAGACCGTCAATAGCTAGATAAATGTTAACTGACAACATTATTATTTAACATTTTTAACTTATAAATGGCAAAAAAGCTATGCCCTACCTGATGGAAAGCAGTAACCGTCGCGTCGTCTATATATACCATATATATAACAGCACTACATCTTAGTCCTCCAGAATGACAACGTAGAAGGTAATGAGTTCATTGAACTTCACATGACAAAATTGTCTAAAGAGATATTATTATTCAATGAATACATTAAACTTTTTATGTAAAAAATATAACGAAGTAACGATATGAAAAGTAACTCACTGCCGTCAGGACTGATCAGGATGCCGTACTGCACACCGTCAACGATCAGGGGAGCTCCGATGTCGAACTATAAAAACAAACAATTATAATTTACTGACAAGCATACTACTTGATGGACTTATATTAATTTGTTTAATTCCGCTACAATATATACATTAATAATAATAATTACAATAATTACAGTTGTAGCGGAATTAAACAAAATAATATAAATCTAGTAAGTAGTGAAATGGACTTCCGCTCTATAATACCTCATTCTCTTAAACATGGCAATGGCATCGCCGAACTGGTGAAACTATACATCAAATTAACTAATTGTAACGGAATGAAACAAAATAATATAATCCAGTAAGTAGTGAAATGAACTTCCGTAAAATAACACCTAATTAATTAAATATAAGAAGCATACATATGTTTTGATTACGGCCCCTGATTAGACTATTTCCTTTTGACAAAATTGCAATAGCATATGCTGGTCACTCTATTCCCTATTTTGAATTTAAAAATGAATCTGTATTTTTGTAAACATGTACATTTGAAAAGAGTAAGAGCTGAGTTTCTTATCAGTTCTTCATAACTGGAATGTTCCGTATAGGCGCACCTCACTAAGGCTATACTTATATCACCAAGAGTTGTGGCTGCTCATGTTGCCAACTTGGTTTGTTTTTTTATTTTGTATATTCTTGTTAATCTGTTAATGTTAAGGCAAACTAGGAAATTGACCTTTAACACCTTGGTTTAACATTATGGAAATAAAGATTTACTGCACTATGCAATATGACTGACATATAAACTGACAGATCAGTTCTTTAGTAATGGGAACACTATAGAAATCGCTCGTACTAAGTATCATTGTTTTTATTACACTATTCACGCGTCATAATTGCAGTAAATAGGTAATATTAAATGACTCAATTTATAGATTTCCTAGTTGAGAAATGTTTTATATAACTTTGCAATAAGTATAGATGGAATATACACTGTCAGTCTTAGAGAAAGGTAGGCATAGCTACTTTGTGAAGAAGTTTCTAGAGCTACCGTGATTGCTAAGATTGTTATCCATTTGTTTTAATTTATAATGCGCACGGAGTCAAAAACAGCATTATTAAAAGTAACTCAACAAAATGCTAATCAGATATGATATGCCGTATGCTTATGCTTCTCATGTTGTCCCATGAGAAGCATACGGGTGCTGCTTGTGAGCTACTGATTAAATTAATTCCTTTTGACGAAAATGCAATATGTTATGCTGGTGGTCCCTACATTATTTCTACTTAAATTTAGAAAGTGTCTGTATTTTTATAATCATGTACAAGCTAATTTGAAAAGAATAAGAGCTGAATTTCTGGTCAGTTCCACTTAGTTTGAAAGCAACCGAAATGACTATAGATTTGACATATCATAAGAGTCTGTAATAGACCTACATGAATAAAGTTATTTTAATTTTGCATCAGTATTTAATAAAAGAAAATAAAAAATTGTTAATATAAATAATAGTTCCGAGTAACACCAATTGAAAAATTGGAAAAATTACAATTGAATTAAGTGACACACGTAGGAAAAATTTGAAACCAATTAAGTATCTTCTCCTATTTTTGAAGTTTGAAAAGAAGGAAAGTTTGGAAAGAAGGTTGAAAAATTAAAAGTCTATATTTATTATTATTATTTGAATAGTAGGGTCGCTTGGTTACCTGCAATACCTGAATATCAGTGGTTTGCATGAGCAAACAATACACTGAGGTGCAACCATTTTTAGAGATTATTTTGTCATTGTACATTTACAACAATATTCTGTAGATAAATAAGAAAGTAGCTTTTTTTTTATTTATCTTCGACAGGACAAAAACATTAGATGTCATTTAAAAAAATGTTGACTATTCAAAAGAGCTTAAATTAAGTTTATTTGATTAAATGATTTTCTATTCTATTTCTATTCTATTCTATCTATACCTTTTATTATGTTAGTTTTAGTTGTTAAAATACAGATAAAAAATATATTAAGAATAGTACATAAGTTGAGTTTAATAGTTACTATACCAGTTGTTCTGGACTGGCTACACGCCAGTTAAACTACACGGTAAAGTTAGAACTAGTAATAAGACTACAATATCCGGGAATAAAAAATGAAAAGTCTGATAGCTAACTAATAGTCGCTGTATTAATGCATTAGATCAGACTAGATAATAATAAGTTAATGAATCAAGGATATATGTAAGATTAGCAGGCCTTTGTATCTAATTCTCTGTCAAACCCTTAAAAGCACTGGCGTGAAGATAAAAGTAATAGTGTGAAAATACAGAAATACTAACACGAGATGCCTCTCCCTCTTCACTTTCAGCGACGATGGAGCCATCTTCTCCAACAGACAGATCTACATTGATGCAGCTGAGGCTCTCACCGGGACCTGGATTTAAAAGCAAACTATCTGTTATCCGCAACTACGTCCGGGTGGAATTAATCTTTTCTAAAATTAAAGTATTTACTTCTTATAACAATATAGTAGACAGTACATATATATACGTGTGAAAATCCCGTCAAAAGCGGTCCAGCCATTTAGAGATTAACAAGAAAAAACAGACAGGCAAAATTTTTCTTAATTAATGTTAAGTAATAGTTTAATATGCATTTAATGAAAAGCTGTTAATTTGGAATTACAAACACACACTTATATTTTATTTACTTATATCTATATATATAATATATATAGCCTATGCCACTATAGAACAAAGAGTAATGTACCTTTCGAACAATGAAACAATTTCTTAAATTGATGCAGTAATTCCAGTATCAAACAAAATACTTAAATATATGTAAATACTTACCCTCGCCTTCCTGACCATAAGCGCAGAAGTTGGCAGATTCAGGCACCTCGTCATCCTGTCCGGCTACATTGACGGGGGAGATGTTCTCTGTAAAAACAATATAGACATTTAAATTCGGAAATTTACATTAAAATTATAGATCTTGTCCTGTCTAATATTGCTATTGTTCTATACTAGAACGTGTATCTAAAGCTGCACTAGCAGAATCTACCAGATTTGTATATCAAGGTTTGTAAAGAACCGGCAACGCGTACGCACACCCCAAGCGTTTCAAATATCCATAGGTTACGTTAACCGTTTACCATCAGATGAGATGTATGCTTATTTACCACCATCGTGGTATAAAAAAATATTGGCTGGGCAGGGATAGAAACACGAGCGTTGAAGGTGAAAGTTAGAGTATGTTAGTAAAAGGGCCCCTTAAAGGGTACTGCTCGAAGTTTCCCTCTCTGCTACACGATGGACTCGGCACCTGCATCGTGAATCCCTGGAACGCTAAGAATTTGTCTCTACCTAATAGTAATAAGATGCAAAACGGGTTTCATCTATAATTGCTCTCTTTATGTAATTAAAATAGGTAACCAGCTGCCACCAACGTGATGGTAAGTGGTAACCGTCGCCTGTATACATGGACAGCACTACGGAGATCACGTTATCTCGTGATACCCTTGATACTACTCATGCATGACTTTAACAAGACCTTTTATCCTGTAATTTCGCTTCCTGATCTCACCTTAGAAACACAGCTTTAGTTTTGATGACTGTATTTCTTGATGTAAATTCTTAGCATTTTGTGTTTCGTGATAATTTGTAATTCATAAATCATTTTGTGCTTCCTAATAAACTGTAGTCAATATACAATCTTGGACAATAAATTCCATAATACATTTTTAAAAGAGCAACTACTTGCCCACTTTCGTCTGAATCGCTGAGCACATAAACACTGATTTACTCAGTGATAAACACTACGCTTTAAGAACGGACACTATGTTGAGGACGGAACCTCTAAAATAAAATACATTGTGAGTGTAGCAATAGTAAATAAATACTGTTTAAAAAGGCTAAACTTTACTAGAGAAGGAATTTTTGTGTTCTATTTCGAGAAACGTGTGTGCCATCGTGCTTTCAGCGAAAAGACAATACAAGACAATTAGCGCTTAACCGAAGCCAAAACAAGAAAAAAGAAAAAACTAATAAGAATTGCAACTGTTTTTGTTGAACGAACTTAAAATTGATTCTATGTAACAAACTTTAATGTTTATGAAAAAGAGAACTTGTACAAATTTAAAAGTGTTTAAATTTAACTTTATTTGAAAAATAACTTTCTAAGATTCAAATATAAATTTTAAAGTAAATAATATTAGTAATCATTGTTAATTAATTGTCTCATATAATATATTTTTACAATTTCTTATTATAATAAAATTAAAAAGTAAACGAGTTAAGCCAACTAAACAAGACAAAACGGTCTACAACTCAGTACAAGTACGTCCACAATCTGTGCTATTCTATTATCCTTATTAGTAAATCATTACAGTAAAAAAATAAACAACGATGACAGCATTGAGGTTTAAAACTATCCTCTACTAAGAAACTCACAAACTAAGAAACTGTATGCAAATCAATGCTTGTAAAAATGCTGTTCCAACAACATTTGTTAAGCACAGTTTTAAAAAAAGTAGTGGTTGCTCTGAAATCGAAATTCGACCATAATAAAAATACAAAAAATCTTTGAACCAGCAATAACTATTAAACAAAACAAAACAAACCTATGCGTGTGTGTCAAATACGTGGTAGTTTATGTAATATTTTTTTTTATATTGATTTCAGGTATTTTATATGCTTAAATAATAAAAACTCGTTCTGCACTCCTTCTCTATATAAACTACTAGCTATTCGCCCCGGATTGGTCCGGGTGTACGTGTATTATATATATAAACCCTTCTCTAGAATCACTCTATCTATAAATAACCGCTTCAAAATCCGTTGCGTAGTTTTGAAGATTTAAGCATACATAGGGACGGATACACAGCGACAGCGACTTTATTTTATACTATAGAATGATAATAATAAGTGTGCGAAATACATCCTCCTCCATCTTAAACACGAGTACAAAGATTTTGCATCACGTAAATATTTTGTTTGAAGTGAAGCTAGCCGAAAATGGAATAGTTCAAGCATGAGCTGAAGGTTATAAAAATAGTAAGTTGATCTAACCACTACAGATAACCGAAACGGACCAAACTACTAAAGCGGAACTCTCGACAACTCTTTTAATTAATGGACCAATTTGCTTGCGGAGTTTTAATTGTCCTCCTGGCGACACCCAACTTTTGAATTTCTCGGAAATTAGTCTGCATCAGAATTTTTTATAGTTTTATTTTCTTTAGAGTTGCCAACTGTCCTGTATTCGCAGTTTTTGTAGTGTCCTGAGACATCCTGTATAATTTTTAAGAAGTGACCTGGGTATAAACTAAATATCCGGTTTTAAATATTAAAATTAAAAATAAATATATTTATTTTATTATTGATATTTAAAATTGTATTGTATATTTTCAAATACTTGTATCAAAAAATATAATAATATTTTTTTAGTTACTTGAATCTCATTTCACTTATTTTCACCACATATTAATATAACTATTGCAACTCTATTACTGCGTACTGTTTTAAAACTGAATTGTCCTGGTATTTCCAAGTTCAAATCCTTCGATTCGAGGTTGGCAACCCCTTGAAAGTAATCATATAAAACGTACCGGAAGACTCTACAGCCCTGTTGATGCTGATCAGGCCGATGTTGTTGGCGCCGGTCTGCGCGTTGTAGCCGGGGTTGAGGCGGACTGCGCTCGACTCCGTCACCAGTTCGGGGCTGATCACGTCCACGGCGCCGTACCGGATCCAGATGAAACGGGCACTGTTGAACAATAATATTAATATATATTTATAAAAAGATATTTTATAATAAATTAATAATAGCTTAATAGTAATATACACAGGTTTATTCCGAAAACGTAAATTTGTATAATTTTTTTATTGGCCCCGACTTCGTATAAGTGCTAATAACTTTGTTAGTTTTGTATTTCTTATATATACAAAATATATGAGCTAATTCATCAACGCCCCTAAAACCTTGGACACTGAATTTATTCATAGATATTGTCTACGAGGATCTATGTTTTTCGAAATTCAATATCTAAAAAGATACAATGGAGATTTAAACTTTGTATAGAGAAACAATGTTTAGTAGACATTCAGATATGATATTTCATACTCCTAAAATCGAAACAAATGAAAGAAAATAGTTTTTTTTTATTTTCGTGTTTAATACCTGTAAAATTATGAAAATCATACTTTACGAACCATATGAAAAACATATATTTAAGCGAATCGAACGAATAATTTTATGTAAATAAAGGTAAATTGTATTATAGCTCGTGACCACGGCTAGAGTAACCTAGTCAAAACGTCTACTTTATGGTAAATAAAGGTATTGTAGCAACGTACTTTCTACACGAGCCACCATCCACGTCCTGGCAACTTCCTAGAATCCTTATCGCACGGCACGTGTAATATTAGAAACGCAGTTGCGCGACCTTCGAACAGTCGTTACCTGCAGCACCCGTGAGGGTTCTGCAGGTAACCCTTAAAGTATTTTTATTCACCATAAAATTATTTGTGTCACCCTATATTTTCTCCTTCAAACCGTTTGTATCAAGGGAGCCAGTACAAGATACCTCTGTCTCACCTGTCTCAATTGCCAAGCAGCTTACTTCATAAGCTGTGTTTCAGTAATATAGTAAGGTAGGATTAGGAATTGAAATTATAGAATAAGCGGCATGTCGTTGTAGTCCACGGAAATGGTAAAACATGACTATACTTCAGTTGGGACATTACCCTGTTGACCGTTCCAGTTTCATAAAAAATAAGTATTTCAGGGACACCGACCGTACAAGGGTCCTCGTACAGATACGAGACTTTTGGTCTTCTATATGTGGTATAGGGAATACGCCAAAGAGCAAAAGTCATTATCAATTTTGTACGAGATTTTGAGCTACAGAAATACATAACTACAAATATTTCACTGCAACTACAATATCGTTACATGTTGTTGCTGTTAGTTACTATCTAATAAAACGTACTGTTATATTCTGTGTCTATGATATTGTCGTGTCTCTGTAACTCCTTGGTTACTTACTCGTTGAGGCAGCTAGCTGTGGTGAGGACCCATCTTGAGTTGATGAGCGAGCCGGCGCAGGTTTGCAGGAGTCCGCTGGTGCCAATGGCAACGCGCAAGTGCACAATCGACGGGTTCTGTCCAGCCTCGGCTAGAGTGCTCTTACCGGCTAAAATACAATGTTTATCATCACTATTAATATAGTATTATATTAAAATAAAAAAAACACCACCTTTAAAAAGTGAAAATATATTGATAATTTGAAACGCCTGAAATTTCTATATGAATTTATATATTTATTAGCAAACAAAACAGATTACAATCAATACAAGAATTTAATTAGGAGCTTGTAGTTTTAGTTAACCTAACACTATGTATACCTAAAAACTAAATTATATAGATGCATGCAATATACGCTAGATAATAAAAAGTACCTACACTAAATATATATTACTTTCTAGTAATATGTGACTACGTAATATTAGGGTAGAATTATAGCTAAGAAGTTTCAATGTAGATCAAATTATAAAAGTATGAATATTGCACCGTCTGTTTGGGAGCTATGATGCCACAAATAATCACATACATAATAGATGCACCTTTTTTTAAAAAAAAATAACTACCAATAAACAATAAATATTTAAACTTACCGTTAGAGCCGGTACTGCGACTCTGAAAATAAGAAAAAAATATATGAGTTAAAGCTGAAAAGGCATATTCGTCGTCTGTTAAGACTAGGTGCGGCTAACATCGTTAAAAATAGGGGGAAGTAATTGTTAGTAATGGGGACCAGTTGCCTAATACGATACCATGTCAGGTTGACCTCCACGTGGAAACCATTGTGGTTAATTACGGCAAATACGTTACGATTGGCTCATGATTACTCGTCACATTATCAGTTACTAGTGCCTCGCCAGCATATAGCGTTGGCAGCTCTAACGAGTACAAAGAAGTACTTTCGAAATAGATATTCCTTTTACCAGTCAGGTGAATCATATTATAAAAATTGATGTATTTACATAGTGTCTATTTAGTTAAGTATCGTACCTACAAATATATTTATAATCCATACTACCTACTAATACAACTAAACTAGTTTATCTACCTAATTCACTAATATTTTATCATAGACAGAATATCAGCAGACGAATCAAATCTCTTCACTGAATTTCCATAAAAAATAATTACTATCATAAATCCGCGAAATTAATTATGATGTATTAGGTTCAGAGCTACATAGATAACTCTTTATTATCTTCAGGGCAAGTTTTATCTGTGTATTTAATTGATAATGTTATTTTATATCTTTACTATGATTAGTATAATTATAAAATAGTTTGTTAGTTTATGTATATAATACATGTAAACCAAAACAGTCAAAACTACAAAATCTATTTTTGTATCTAATTTTTTTATCAATTATTATTACAAAAAATGTATTTAAACTTTGTTTACCGTGGGACAAGATGGCACTATGTTAATTGTCCAGGATTATTTATTCATATTAGTATATTATAAGAAGCAAATATGTGGCATTTATTTTAATTTTAATTTGAAATACTTACTACTATTAAGTACTAAATTTTTATGTAAGAATAATTCTGCAAGAAAAGTTCGTCTAGCATGATATCATCCATAATTATACCTCTGTCAGAAAGCCAACCTATGAGGGGCATAAACAAACTAACATAATTTAAACTACATTCATATCACTTAAAGAAATTTTAAATTAGACGTACGACTCTATATTATCGTGATATATATACCCATATCTGAAACTTGTACTATTCAAAATCTATTAATAAGCTAAGTTTCTTCCTCAGCCTCTTTAATTAAATTGGACGTACGAATGTCGTGGTAATAGCGGCACCAACTGAGTGGAAGCCTTTTCAGCATAGCGAATTATTAGTTTTTAAGTTTTCTTTTTTACTCTGTACTCTTTTTTATGCTGAATAAATGATGATTATTATTATTATTATAATATTACAGAACAAAATATATTGAAGCGGTTATTTGAACAAAGATCATTTCTTTTCTATTCTATTATTATTTCAGACATAGATTAGATCAGTATCATAGATAATCTGTATGATTCGACAATACAGCAAATTCAATGACCACTTTACCCGAATGAACACTTAAGATTACTTTGTTGTAACCAGCAGAGTACAACTGCGTCACGTACTATGATGGTAAATATTATTTTCTAATATTTATTCAAATAATATCTTTTCAACACTACTTACCTATATATACACTACACTATACTATATCTTATATTAGTAGTTTTTTGTAACGAACTAAAAGATTGATAGTAACGCCCCTTGGGTGTGACTTGATACCTTGTAACTTTCACTGCCTAATCTCACCCTCCAACTAAAATACAGATCATGCTAATTGGCGGATGAAAGGTACAAAGTCCAACTCGGTAAACTTTAAGAAATATAAAATGTTGACTTATTGATTAAATATATTATCTTATTTGTGGTTCAACGTAGAAAGCTGTTTTATTCATGCTGAAGTATTTAAAAAATATATACCTACCTAAATGTAAAGTATATACTATGTAATAATCGTATATACTATCAGTAAATTTCCAATGAAAGCACCAAGACACTTTGTTATATATTTGGTTAATTAAGAAATAACGTCTAATAAATTGTTTAAGATTCATTCTAAGTATGTTTGTATAGAAATAATTAAGTATGTTTTGTACATACCTGCGCAGCAGCAATAAGACACAATAAGAACAAAGCGAAAACCTTCATTTTGCAACGGTCAGAGACACACTAATATGTAAAATATAATTAACTTATAATGACAATAATTAGATGGCTATCGGCGATTTACTCGTCCGTCATTATATCATAATCCCTTGATAAGCACTTGATTACATGTAGGGATGCTTTCCAGACTGATTTCGTTCTAATCCATTTGATAAAGACGTCACTTCCGTTATTTTAATTATGTTGAATGGATCATGGTTTTTTTTCGGACTACTCTATTGCTGTTGGCCGCAGCTGGCCATTACAGCTTCACCGTACGATAGGCGAGTGCAAATGGCACTCCAGACACGCGGAAGGACTTATGGAGCGGCTGAAGGCCAACTTCCGCCTGACGGACATGACTTTAGTCTGAGGGCACCGCTAGGGGTTCGAACCTCAGCTCAGGCCGTCGTAATTTCAATCCCCGTTTGAATTGGACGTGGGATCGATCGGAAGGGGGATCATGGTTATCGATATAATGTTAAAATTTAATAACAAATATAATTCATGTTAATAAAATTGCAAGCGATTTATAAAATCATTTTAACTAGCTCTTTCTTTATCTTATCAGTCTCTACGAGATGTAGGAAACAGATCGTCGTGAAGAAAACTCTTAGTAATGGAGGTTCATAGTGATTAATCATTAATAGTTGTTTAAGTTGTCTATAAGACAATGCTTTAACCGCATTTTGTTTAGCATATTTATATAGTTCTCTATTTTGTAAATATTTTTCTCTACACAATAAAGAGTTATATATATTAATAATAATGATCTAAAAATAATATTTACTGGCTAATTTTCTACGAGGAAGTGGCTCTCTCTACTTTATAATCAAGCCATCATTATCCTGTAGGTGTTCCGCCTAATAAACAAATATACCTATACTTAATTTAGAGCAATTGCGTTATCAACTTAAAACCATAATTCTATCACAGTAGAAAACAATTTACTTTAAATTCAGTAAATGTACTTTATTTTTTTTTAACAGAATAAATTAATCTTGCTTAATATAGAATGCCCTCGGGAAATTTAAATTTATTGTCATACATCATGAATCATTCAGTTTTACTTATTGTTATCATTCTCGTAGCAATGAGACAAGATATTTTATCAGGTGTTTTTCCATAACACTTTTAATACGCGTTTCGTTAATCTTTATCTTTTATTAATATTTATCTACACCTAATTAGCTTCTGTACACTTGCTATATCATAAGTCCAATAAAAAAATGGGAGCGTTATAACCTTATGATTTACTTCTCCGATCGATCCCCCGTCCAATTCAAACGGGGATTGAAATTACTATGGCCTAATCACAGGTTCGAATCCCTAGCGATGCTCAGTGTTGCGGCCTCCTTGACAGGACTGCTTGCTTGCCGGTTATAAGACGTGACTAGGACTTGACAAAATAAACAATTGACAAGATAGTCTCTAACAAAACGTGGACTCTACTAATTTATCCGTCATTCTTATATCTCATTTCTCTCTATCTCTTTGTACTGTAAAATGACTATTATAATTAAAAACAACAGGCTTTATGGGATACATTTTAAAACTAGATTACAAAGTGTTCCCATAATTCAAGCGACTTAGTCAGCGATGGAATTTAACTTATAAATTAAAATATACGTAGCCTATCCAGGGTCCTAACATTTTACTCTCAATAATTACTTTCATAAATTCATCGGACTCTGAATTCTACATCAGCTACCTGTCAAAAAAATGTCAACAGACAAAATCGGTACAGCCATTTAAAATATACGTAGAGATTAGTCGAAACAAATCGAAACAAACAGACCGACAAACAGACTGACAGACAGACAAAAATTGAAAAAAAAAAATTTTGGTGTATGTATCGTATTTGTATTCATATGCATGTATTAAGAAACGGTTATTTCGATATTACAAACAGACACTCCAATTTTATTTATATGTATAGATTGCTCTTTAGGGCTCTTCGATCAAGACTTGCGATGGATATCTTTTGATAGCGACCAGCTCTTGGACAGTGAGAGAATCTGTTTATTTACATTGATTAAGCAAGTTCGAAATCTCCATTGGGAGAGAGAGAAAGAATGAGTATGGTCTTCATTCTCACTCTCTCTCCCCATGCTGTAAAATGACGATTATAACAAAAACAACGGACTGTTTTATAGAATATATATTAAAATTATTTCTCTTTCGGGCTCTTCGACCAAGACTTGCGCTGGTCTTCTTTCGGTAGCGACCAGCTCTTCGACCTTTCTCTCGACCGGACCTCACTCGGCGACTCCATTTTGTTGTCTCCGTTCTGCGGATCGGGGCGCACACTACGCTCCCGGCTGTGTGGGGGCGTGCGGTATACATCTTTTGATCTGGACCTGCTTTTTGACCTACGGCTTCTGGATTTTGAACGTTTCCGTGACCTCGACCTTGAGCGCGAGTGATGAGATCTGAAAGAGTACAAGGAAGTGATTGTTTTTTTTTTCAGGATCATTCACACAGTACCATCTAGACCCTAAGAAGTAAAGCAGCTAAACCCCTACACCACCAATGTTCTCAAAAACAATTGACTCTATTTTATTCATTGTCATAGGAACAATCTATATGTGAATTAATTTTTAAATCGGTCATTATTTTTATAGTCTATCCATTAAAATCAAACAAATACTCAATAATTTATCATCTACATAATATTAGTATATTGGAAGAACCAGCTTCGGATGCAGCCAAGCATTGTTCTGGCTAGAATCACATTAATTTAAGTTGATTATTTTTTGTTACTTAGTATAGCTACGATGGGATTTACTGTACAAATCAACATTTAGTTATCGTATAACGTCACATTTAGTGACGTTTCTCAAAACAAAATAAAATATAAAATAAAAATAGTACCTTGACCTCCTACTTCTGGAGCGCGATCGCCTGCTCCTACTCCTGGACCGGCGGCTGCGTGACCGTCTGCTGCGTGACCGCGACCGCGAGTATGACCGCCGGCGCGACCTCGAACGTGACCGCGATCGCGAGTATGACCGGCGACGTGACCGCGACCGCGACCGGCCACGATCATCGTGATCGTTGCGATTCTCTGCCTGCGTGAGTTTCTTGAAATATCTAGAATAGAATAACTTTCACATTTCTATTTCTTTCTTGTACGACTGATGTAGTGAACACATTATCCTGTAATATTTTCTAGGTTTGCTGTTTTTGGAAGCTTGGTACATTATTATTACTGTTATTTTTATACGTGTGTACAATCAAATATAAAATAATTGTATCTATGACCTCTCACTAGGCTATGGCTGTATCGTGGAAGTCAAAACAACATTAACAGTCAAGATAGACTGTCGACTGACTGAAGACTGACAAGTAAGACTGTCGAGTAATGAGAGTCAATCAATTTTTCTATTATTAGGCGTCTTACTTTATGAATTTTGTAGAATAATAACTCTACTGAATAACAATTCACACTACGCCATCTAGTCACAAGCTAAGCAGAGCTTGTATTACGGCTAATGAAAAACTGATAAAAATACCTAAATACGTTTTTAGTAAATTCATACATAATGTACATAGAATACACAAAATAATACAAACAATCATACTCGTGAACACAAATGTTTGTGAGACCGGGAGATGATAAATTTTACTCGTGACCATCTGAAGCAAAGCGGCGTACTAAAACTATAGATCACCGAGGCCGTCGATTAATCTGATTACAACAATATACTAACAAGTAATACTGGTGGCTGGCGTCGGGTCCTTCGAAGTATGGCATGCGGCACCCCCGGCCCCGTCCGCCACGCCCCCCGCGTCCCCCTCGCACCCCCCGCCGACCGAAGCCCCCCTCCGGGTAGTACGCGCCCCGCACCGGGTAGTACAGGGAAGCTGTGGTACCAACGTAACCGTTACACGATCAATTATATTCTGGGCCCATAACCTTTTGGAAATAGAGATTGCATCTCGAATTCTCTAGTTTAGTGTAACATATTTTTAATATTTTCAATTCTGTAAAGTCTCTATTTCATAAGTATTTACGTTGTAAAAGAGCCTAAATCAGTTCAATTGATGTTTGACTAAACTTGCTGTATTACTGGATAAGAAGCATGGCAAGGCAAGATGTCTCAGTCCTGTAGAAAGCAACGCTCGTAGTTTTGTGATACATGATAACGTGACATCTATAGTTCTGTCTATGTATGCATATAGGCGACAGTTAGCTGGGCCGTCGCTCAGACAGAGTTAATCAATACCCTATTGATTAACAGTCTGAGCGACAGTTTACCGTTACCATCGTATTTTAGTGTAATGCCAACCCGAAATCGAAGTAGAATAGTCATGACACTGAACCTTATTGGGAAACTATATAAATCTTAAAATAAATTGTTTCAGAGTTATATGAAAGAAGTTGGAAAATCGTGCAAAATGGCAAGATCCCAACCGACAAAAGCGAATGAATAAATGCGAAAGTTGTTCAGTTCCATGAATAGCATAATTCGAATTATTTCTGCTAAAACAATAATATCTTTGGAATAAAAATGTACATAAATAATAGTTTTTATTCTATAAAAAACACAACAACATCTCTATCTGGAATAAAAAATGTTAAATATAATAGTAGTTATGCTATAAAAGTTGTTGTTAGCTAACTTTACACGACATGTTTTATTTTAGATTTCTTTGATTTGAGTCTTTTTCGTTCTCTTACTCTCTTACATGCACATTCTTTGGCGCGAAAGCCAATTCAGTCAGTCATTCGCGTGAAAGAGCGGCGTGTAAAGCCAGCTATTCATTTAAGTCTATATATTAAGTTTAAATTTTTTTCTGTCGAGACAAAAATAATATGTAGCCTATGTCTCGAAAGAAAAAAAAACATAATATGTATTACGTATATGTAATGATACTCATACTTTGCGGTGGGTACGGATACCCCGGTGGCACTGGTGGAAACGGGTACCCAAAGCCGTAAGGCGGGATGCCGTACACTCCTGTAACAATACAAATAAATATTTACTAAATTAAATCGATCTAGCTTTATGTTTACCTAATGTATTTATTATTTCACAAAATTCGTCTCTCCCTCTCTGTATAGAGAGATATATAATATAATAAATGTTTATATTTATATATTTTTGTAACATAATCCTTCGGTATAATCCTTGTAACGCATTCCTTCGGTATATATTTTGATACATTTTATTTTTCATATTTGCACAGATAACAATTAATGTGTGCACTATCTGTAATTGGCCGGTTGAAAATGCCGCATGGTATTAAATCCGCTAAAAGTACTATTCACCATTAGTATTGTGTGCATTCACATTAAATATATAACAATTTCTTTCATTAAATAAATCATATGGAGAGGATTAATTTAAAAAAAGGTTTAATAAAATATAATTACCTGTAGCTTTATTGTATTCCATTTCCCTTTCTGGTGTTGTCAACCGTTCAGTCTTTACTTTTTTGGGGGCGGCGTCCTCGTCGGAAGATATGGAGCTTATTGAGGAAGCCACAGCCTGCTTCTTTGTGTCTAGAGCAGTCCGTATGATAACACGACCTGTAATAAGCAATTTACTGTATCAGTTGAGTTTGATTTACTGGTTGAGATGAGTTTCTTGCTAGTTCTTTTCAATTGAATCTATATACTAAATTGACGTTCATAACCCCTTATGAATCTCAGACGTTCATATGATTACAAGACAACATAAGGGGTTATAAAAATAAAAAATGTCCTGCCTGAATAAATGATTTTTGATTTCATTTCATTTAAATATAATCAATAATAGCCAATTCAAATCAAATCAAATATTTTTATTCATGTAGATCTATTACAGCTCATATGATATGACAAATCTACTGTCAGTTCGGAGTGCTTTCAAGCTAACAAGAACTAACAATATACTCAGATCTTATTATTTTCTAATGAGCTAGTACATGATTAAAAAAATACATATTTATTATTAAATTCAATTAGAATGTAGTCACTACTAGCATAATTATGCTATTGCATTTTTGCCAAAAGGAAATAATTTAATCAGTAGCCATAACCCGAACAGACCATTTCCCAGAAGCAGCAATTTCTACAACCATTATATTTACCGTCTAATGCGTGTTTGAACTGATGCCGCATGGAGTCCACCAGGTCCTCCTGCCTCCGTTTGAAGTTTTCAACAAATCTGGCGCGTTCTACTCGCTGCATAGACGCGTGATAGTGTTGCACTTTACCATTATGTTGCAACTCTGGACGAAGCTATGGGAACAATAAAATAATATTATTTCTTTGTATATACAAAGAATAAAAATAATTATTACTACTATGGTGGCAAACAAGCATACGGCCCATCTGATGGTAAATGGTTACCGTAGCCTATGGATGTCTGAAACACCAGGGGTGGTACATGCTTGATGCCGACCTTTAAGAAAAATATATTAATAATTTAAAAGCAGTGTATAAATTAATGTCACCTCTATTCTCATAAAGAGCTCTTCAAGCAACCTTATGGCCTGCAACTTCTTCTGGGCCTTGAGCAGCTTGCGGTGCTCTTCTGCCACCTTCCCATTCACATCTACATCATCCCGCTGCATCAATTTGGCCAGCTGCTTCTTTTTCCTTCTCTCTTCTCTCTCCCTCATTTTCTGCAACTTCTCTTGTTCTGCTTTCTCAGCTTTTAATCTAAAATTTGTAATAATTAATGATACATTAGTATTATATCTTTAGTGGGATATTTAAACAATAACTTTAGCATGTGCTTTTAACAAAATCTATGCAAATTAATTATATTTTAGTGAATTTGTTTGTAATTTCAAATTAACAGATTTCACTAAATGCATATGAAAGTATATGTGGTACCTATAAAATTTATTTTAATTAAAAAAGAACATTAAATTCTTATCATGATTTTGCAGTATCACAAGAAACTAAATTTTTTTTTATAAAAGCCAGTTTTTCAGCACTGTTAGTTATATAGTCTATGACCTACTTTAAATAAAAGTCATTTATGTAATCATTTAGGTAGAGACTTTACTCAATAAATAAGTGTTGCATTAAATAATATTCAAATCATTTATTTAGAAAGTTAAGATACTTAATTTTAAGGTGTTTGTGGTTGTAAGACTGCATAATTGTTCAACTTATACTTCACTATATATTGAACAGACATTAAGTGCGTAGCGGTTTCTATGTTGATTGTCACATGCCTAATTATTGTTGTTAATTAAATATAAGTAAATCAATATTTATTTAAAAGAGCAACACACAAGTTTCTTGCTTATTCTTCTTGTGATAAATCTGCATTCTGAATAAGCGGTAGAATCAAAAAACTTGACTATTCAAAAGTGCTCTCATATTAAGTGTATTTGAATAAAGATTATTTCTATTTCTATTTCTATTTCTATACAAAAGAATAGACAATCAGAAGAAAAACACCAATATGTATGAAACTCACCTTTCCTTAGCTTGTCTCTTATTAACCTTCTCTTTCTCTTGTCTTTCCTCTTCTTCTTTGTTCTGTTGCCGAGCTATAAGCCTCTCACGAACAATGGCTCTCCGCTTTACAGCTGCATCTGTCATGTGCTTGGTCTTATCAAAGTCCACTCTGATTCCACACCACTCGGAAAGGTCATCACGTTTTCTTAATAATTTCCGACCTCGTAGTGCGTCCATGCAGCGCACAAAGCCTACATATTCACTGAACTGGACATAGCCATTGAAATACAAAGCGGAATCCTGTGGAGGTGTGGTTATACCCCTCATAGTGGTCTTCATTTGCATTCTAAAAGGATCCGCAGCTGGTATGTCTACTTGTCGAATGGACCCAAACTTCTCGAAAACCTTCCTAAATAAACTTTCCGACGGAGGAGCATCATCGTCATGATCCTTTTCATGTACAAACCAGCGAATTGGTAAGTTCTCTATATGAATTGTATCCGGCCGTTCTCCTGGCTTCATTTCGTCCATATCAGTTGAGTCACGAAAGAAGGAGTCCCAAGAATGCCTACTTGGGAAATCACACTTTGCTTCTGACACCCTTACCTTCAAGGAGTCAGGGTAGTCGTTCAACTGCACGACACGGTTGTCAAGTCGTGACATAACTCGTTCCAATTTACCTCTATTCTCCAACTCGGCATCGAACCTTATCACTTCAGAACTGTGTTTCGACACTTTCAGTAACGAAAACGCATCAGGTTGGACCATCTTGCGAAACTTTTCCATGAGTTCCCAATTGGAAATCGATTTGTTGTGAACCTTGTGGGAAGGGAGCTGGACAGAAATGTTTAGCTTTGCGAAAGACTTTAAATACAAACGCTGCGGCAAATACAGCGCCACAGCGTCTGATGTATCCCTACACACTTGTATACTCATTCTATCTGCTATAATTACATATGCGGACAACAGCCTCTAATCAGTTACATATGAATTAGAAAAATATATCACTTAAAACTATGCCCTAAGATACCTAAGCTACATTAAATTGTTAGCAAAAATACATAAAAAAAATAAAGCTAATTCCTAACGATACACGAAAAAATAACAAGAAAATTAAAACAATTTCTAATAAAATGACCAAAGCATTGTTCAATGTCAGCTCCCATTGCAATTATACGGAAATTGTATTTTTAAATATAGTATTTTAATCCGTCTATATTTTGTAACACTGTGCTCTCTACAATATTATAATTATTTTTTAAAAAGATCAGGAAGAGTATTTTATGAACACAGAGACAAGTTAAAAAACGCCATATTGATTGTGACTTTTTGATTGACATCCAAACAGACATATGTGTTGACTGTTTGTATATGACAAGTTGATGACAATTTTACTGACAACAAAAATCTCAGAGTAATCTAGCGTACACTATCTATTTATGCTACTCTGGAGTAAAAAACGAAACCAAAGCCACTTCATTTTATTGACTTTTCACGTATATTTACATATATATACATATATTTTTATTAATATTAGTATTTGCCAATTTTTTTTACCAAACGTTCTGAAGATTTTGAGATTTTACTTATCATTACTACTCTGGCAACTATAGTACATCTTTATGACTGTTAAACCAGATGGAGTAGTCAGTGGGATTTTCAATAGTCGATGTTAAAGCCCCAAGTGGCAAAGGCGAAGCATACCGCCGCGCAGTCTTTTGAATTAGTTTTACTTTATAGTTGGTTTCCGAGAGCGAGTCAGAAATATATATTGATCTACAAACTTTACGATTTCTATTGTCAACCTTTGTAGTGTATTTCGAATAGAAAATCCCAAGGCGAATCGTTACGACTTACGTAATTGTATATCACTAAAGTTGTAAATATATAATAATACAGGAAAATGTGTAATAAAGTAAAACATCGAATATAAAGAATGTTTTTATTTTCTCAAATACAGGATCAATGATTCGACAAACGGCACTGCGCTCAGCAGAGCCCCGCATAGAGTTGCGTCTTACACCAGATATCATATTATATATCTGCTTATAGCTATGTCATAAATAATTTAACATACAATTTACACAGCTTGGCGTACTAAAAAATTAATCTCTAAGTTATTATAGCTTTTAATACTACTACAAGGCCTACAAACTCGCCCTTCACTTCATAAACAAATGCCGATTCGATTTAACAACAGTCAATTTGGATTCTAAAAATAAAACGTTTACCTGTATATTTAAAACTCTATGAGTGGGAAACAATATTGTTAAGATGGTGACTGCAGACACTGTCAGTTCTGCATTATGTTTAAGTCTTTGATGATTAGAATTTCATTCAAAGAAAATAAAATTTAAAAATTAAATTAAATATAAAATGGGCAGAATAACATTACAAAAATGCTATCAATACATCATGCAACAGACCAAAATTAAACATACATTTAATTAATTGATAATTAAACGTATCACATTAAAAGGAAATTCCCATCTTGTTAAATACCTATCTATAGGAACCAACGTTTTCCAATCGTCGGAAAAAATGTATTACTTATTAAAATTAAAACTAATTTTGCTGTCACTGGTCGAAAGTACTTGAGAAACTTCGCCATTGCATATCAGATACTGGTAAATGCAATGTTGTTCACAATATATTTTAAAATTATGATGTTTTAGCAATTTATGGTATAGATTCTGTGTTCACTAATTACATACATGCAAAACTTTTGACATGAGTTCAAAGAACTTAAAAATGTTACGAGTTTTAAACAAATATAATACTAACTGGAAATTACAACAATCATTCATCACTTTTTAGTGAAGAAATGGACCCTAAATTAAATAATAAAATTTAATGTACACCTACAACAGTAGAGCATACAACATGCAGTGCTAAAAACTTTCTAAAAAAATCAACTAGTTATGGCCCCTGACTTTTCAATATTTGTAGGTTGTGCATAATTGAATATTATAATTTCTAATGGAATATTATAATTAGAATCAAGTATAATATTGCTTTTTAATTCAATAGAATCAAGGTACCCTATTTATACCATTTAATTTTAAATTTAAACCTAACAATGTGTGACCGTCATTTGTGAAATTCAGGCGCTATCAAATCACACGCTTAATAATCTACGTTACCAAATTTTGGTATCGACTATGTCGAACAAAAAATAATTGTGTTGATAATTAATGTTAACTCTTCTTCATCTGTCTGTCTCCTGCTGGAGGTTTACAATCATCGTGGCGATTTTAAACTTGTCTACTACTATTCTGGCCTTATGTTCATTAGCCATGATGTGCGGCGCCTGCCTGGACTTCGGCAGCCTTGGATTATTCCTTGAATTATTTTCAAAAGACCATATTTTTTACTTCGCATTATAAGACCAAAGTACAGCAACTTTCTACGCTTTATAGTATCCAACACTGCTCTTTTGTTTCTAATGATAGTACATTCTCATTCCACACTCTGTCCACTATATCATATTAATTTAATATCATATAAACTTAGTTATTAAGCGTGCAAATTGTTAATTGTGATGATACCGTTATTTATCGCTAAGCGTCGCTCTTAATGCATTATCAAAAGCAATACTTTGCACGTTTATGTGACTAATAAAATAATACCAAGCGCCAGCGTTATACTTGAACGTCGAGTATCATTTTACAATTCACACTATGATGCATTTCAAAAAGATAAGTCCGCACAAATGCATAATTAAAATATCCTACTATATACAAATTATCGTACACTACTCCCCTCCACACACTTGTGAAACGCTTAACACCAAAACGTTCGATAGAAAATTTTTTACATCAACCAAAAAGTCTTCACATATTCCAACTATAGTTTTTTAATATGAAATAATTATAAAATAAAATTTCAGTCTTCTATAATTATAGTTCAATATAGATCGTATAAATTAGATCTTCCGATTTACAATACAGTATCATACAATTTGTACAGCATTATAAAATTGACAATGTCCATATATTACAGGTTACAATAGGTGCGACAGATGACATGTATATAATTATTTAACACCGCGTTTCCACTACGCCAAACATGTATTATACGTGTATAAAACAACCAGCGCATTTACACTCAGTTTATATATATATATATTTCCGTTTTGTTCAAACCATGTCACATAAAAATATATATCTTTTTGTACTTAAAAGAATAAAAATTGATATTTTGAGAAAATATCTTTTATGTACATACCTTGATCTTTTTGAGAGGACTAATGAATTAATATAACATCAAATAATATGCTCCAATACAGTCGACTCGTATTAAATGTTGACAAATATAATAATCTGTCATATAGACTACCAATAATGCTATAATAAGGCAGAAAGAATATATTACATTGCCCGTTCCTTATTAATTACATTTAATACAGTTTAAAACTCATCAGATTTTAGATCAATTTACAAGTAGGCATGAAAATATACTAAAATGTATTAAAACATTATTTTAGTATATTTTCTTGCCTACTTAACAAAGAAAATGTACATTTGTAAAGTTTGGCTGGGACGGGTTTCGGTATTAAGTGAATGTGATCATATCGCCAAACATGTATGAAATAGTACATCTAAATGTCACCTAGTACATGTATAATACGTATGTATACATGTATAATACACGACTTCTTTATATTTTAAATAAATACTACACATACAATAAGTGTTATGAGTTGTATGCGAGTGGAAACGACAATGATAGGGCGCTTTTATAATTTACCGATGGTCATAAAAGACACGATGTTGCATTCTCGAGGAAGAAAAAAGTCAAAGAGAGTGAAGTAAATTACTAGTTACTAGAGACAACAAATTTAAAGTCATTATTCCTTAAAATACAAATTAAAATAGTTACAAAAAAGTATTTAGTCTGGTTACTTAACCATTCTTAATAACTTGGGTATAATTTTAAATTCTGGCAACTCAATTACGTTAAATGATATTTTGAGAACCACAAATTACCATTAATGAATAGATTATGAATTAGCAATAATTTAACGAGTTGCTAATAATAAAAAAAAGTTAATGTCGACAATCGTTTGCCAAAATGAGCCAATTATACACATGGCTGTATAGCTTACTCCTTAAGGGGAAGAAGCGTATTTAAAAAGTTGAGCACAGTTCTCCACAAACATATCCATACTTGTCTCGAGCATGTTCCACATTGACTTTTGTCTTACCGTCGACGCAAACGTGTACTTAGCCGTAGAATTACAAAAGCGTGTCTAATAGCATCGGTGCGGAGACACGAGCTTAGTTAGCACGTCCTAACGCATGCTGCGCGCGCTTATCGTGCCGGACGCGCGCTGCGCGTGTTGGCGGCGATGCTGGCTCAGTTGGCGCGCGCGCGCTTGGCGTGTCCGGAGGCGTGCTGGGCGTGCTGGGCGTGCTGGGCGTGCTGGGCGTGCGGCGCGTGCTGGGCGTGGGCGTGCGCGGGGCGCGGCGGCTGCAGGGGAGGCTCCTCGCCCGCGTGCCCGGAGCGCAGCATGTACTTGAACTGCGGCATGTGCTGCATCACGTCGCGGATCTGCACCAGCGCGAGTCCGTTCTCGCCGGCCGCCGCCGTCTTGCACTTGCCCGAGTTGCGGAGCACTTGCAGTTGTGTTCTGTGCCGACGTTTCGTATTCGTTAGTGATGACGTTATTAATGTTACTATGTTGAATACTAAAAATCTTACTATAATATTAGAAACGCCAAAGTTTGTGATAGCGCATTAAATTTTAATGAAACTTTACAATAATTAAATCTATAAAAATGAACAATATGACCACAATTGTGTTATTTTTTGGTAATAGTATTCAATTAAATAGGCAGGATGTAATTAAAGGAATTGAATATTTATTGCAATTAAATGTGTATAAGATTGTATTGTGCGCTTTTCCTTACACAAATAGACATCTTCATAAAAAAATTAACAGTAAGGTACATTACCTGAATAACTTATTACATATGTTGACATGTCGTCATAGTGACATTTTTACATTTTTTGATACTAATAGTTTTATTAGTGATTTTTATTTGACAAAAGATACAATGTATCTCTCTAAATCATCTAAAAATAAAATAGCCACTTTAGTGGCTTATAATATTGACTACATGAACAGTTTACATGGTAAACTTAAACATAAAAATACTGACATAACAAATAATTCTATTAATATTTGTGACATAAATACTATGACTGCAGATTTAAACTGCTCACAAAGACAAAGGGAAAGCAATCAGAATTAATAATTGTTCATCAGAACATACAAAGTTTTCCCGGCAGCAAGTTAATTATACAATTATTTTTAGAAAAGTATAATATTGATATTGTCTGTTTCACAGAACATTGGCTTAAAGAGAGCAATATGATGTTCAATTTAAATAATTATAACGTTGTCAGCTGCTTCAATAGAAAGTCAGTTAACAGAGGCGGGTCTATGATAATTGCAAGAAATAATATTAAAGTAAAGGAACGTGCTGACATTGTTAGACTTTCTATTGAGTGTTGTATAGAATTATCTTGTATAGAACTAGAAAATTATATCCTTATATGTGTTTACAGGCCTCCTAATAGTGATTACAATGTTTTTGAAGGGGTGATGGAGGATATTTTAAAAAAAATATTTAATAGTCTTAAAAAAATTATTGTATGTGGAGATTTTAACGTTGATATTCTTTGTAACACACCCACATGTACAAAAATTATTAGTTTATTTCAGTCATTTGATTTAAGTCATGTCTTTCATGAACCCACTCGTGTAACTGCCACGTCTGCTACTTGTCTTGACAATGTTTTTTGTAACTGTGAGTATACAGAAAAATTCATAATAAATAAACTTCCTTCAGATCACTGTGGTCAAGTTGTTAAGTTTAACAGTCAGATCAATAAAGTCAACAATAATAAAAAATCAAAAAGACAAATAAATGTTTACAATATTAACAAATACAAAAGCGCGATTAAAAATAAATTGGATTTGCTGTTACAATATAGTAATAATCCTGATTATCTTTACACCAAGCTAATTATTATAATTTGTTTATCTCATTGCTTTCTTGATTCAATTATTTTAGAAATATGAAAGCGTAGCGGGTTTTGTATTAATTGCCGCATGCATTCTTATGTGAAATGTGAATACTATAAACATCAGATGGCAATTGTGAGTAGCTATGACGTGGTCTGGTGTTTTGAGTATTCATGCTCACTAAAATGTCCAGACTTGTGGCGGCGTGGTGGGCCGGGTCATTGGGCTCCCTAAAATATGGTCGAGCGCAGTGATGGCTGGCTCATCCGTCATACTCGTGAACGGGTGCTGCTTGTAGGGACTGGTCTGCTCTAATCACTATGACTGATTTCCTCTTATTAATTGTTTAACCAGTTGGTTATGTATTCAATATTTTTTTCTTTTTGAGTATTTAATTGAATTAGTGCTAATCGGTGGTTTGTATTCACACTTAAACTTAAATTGTAAGTAAGAATAAATTATTTAAAAGAGCAACACACAAGTTTCTTGCTTGTTCTTCTTGTGATGAGACAGCATTCCGAATGAGCGGTAGATTAAAAAAAAAATGTTATGACTATTCAAAAGTGCTTCAATGTAAGTTTATTTGAATAAATGATTTTCTATTCTATTCTATTCTATAGCTTACACATCAGAATAATACATGGGCTATAAATTTTACGCCAGTGAAACCACAAGCACAAATAGTATTACAAGTAACTATTCAAAAGTGCTTATAATAAGTTTATTTGAATAAAGATTATTTCTATTCGACCGACTTCGAAAGTGTATTTATTGTATTATGCCGTGACACAAACATAACATAAAAATGTACGTAACATTTTTATATTACATTCATACTCATACTACATCATACTCATGAACACAAAGTTTGCACCGTGCAAGAAACAAAACCCGCAGAAGTAAAGCGGTGTGCTAAACCACTGGACTTGTGACCGGACCTGAAAAACCGTAAAGGACCGGGGAAAGGTCAAAAATAAAAAAAATCCCGTGGCGCAATTTATGAATGGATCTCTTACTCGAGGTGATGATAATTAGGGAAGGTACATACGCGTTGGGCCTAAATAGTGTTAGGGCGAGCGCGTCGAGCATGGCGCGGCACGTGACCAGCGACACGCGCGGGAAGAAGTGGCTCGCCAGGTCCGGCAGCGTCATCAGCAGCTCCGTGTACTGGTACGGCTTCGCGTTGATGCACGGCACCATCGTGTTCTCCACCAATGCTTTTTGCACCTGGACGGACAGACAATTATGTATTTATTATATATATTCATACTAATTTGTGACAGTGTTTGATTTATATGGTCACTATTGAACTGAACGGATCTTGATCAAATTTAACGTGAAGATAATAATAATAACATAGGACAATTACACATCGCCATCTGGCCTCACCATTAGCAGAGCTTGTGTTATAGGTACTAGACAACTGATATAAATACTTAGATACTTTTTTTTATATCATACATAATATACATAGTAAATACCCAGACCGATACAAACAATCATAGTCATGAATACAAATGTTTGAACCCACGACCATCGGAAACAAAGCGGAGTGACAAACCGCTAGACCACCGAAGCTGTCACTTTACTAACAATTCCCCCTGCCCCCGTACACAGTTATAAAATATTAAGAAAAAGAGTTGAATAAAACTCACCTTATATGGCGTGTGGTTGCCAGTAATGTTGATGTCGGGTATCGGTGTGAGCCTTTTGCGGCTGTCCACCGAGTGAGAGGTTGAGTGGCCATTCATTGATCCAGTCACTTGAGGGGGCACACTGCGAACCAAAACATTATAATGAACAGGGATGTTATGGATATGAAATTTCGGATACGGAAGCGGATATGAAATTATTTCGGATAATTTCGGTTACGGATACTAATTTTTTAAGGAATTTCAAAAGTGAAATACAAATAGCTAATAAAATGGTTACATAACGTGTCTCAATTAGGCTCCGCCCCTATCCGATATTGTCCGAAACTTTTATTTCGGATTCGGTTACGGTTACGAATATTTTTTTTATATCGGATATCCGATAGTTTCAGTTACGGTTACAGAGCTCCCTAACATCCCTGATAATGAATATTAAATGCCTGAACTAATTTTTAGAGTGTTGATTAAACATATATATAAATACCATATTCATTGTTTGTAAAAAAAAACTATCTTTTAAAAACAGACATAGACGTGGGTCAGAGTAAATGTAATAAATAAAAGTAAATAAATACAAAATTGTACGGCGATTAAACGGCTGGACAGATTTTAATAGTATTTAGTATGAAGATGGATTGTATGACGATGATGGACATAGGCTATCTTTTAGCTGAAAACAAAATATGGAACGGAGTGAAATAAGTGATGAAGGTTATGTTATGTATTTGAAGTCGTGGGTATAAGTCTAGTGCGCGGGTAGGTGTAAAGTATCGCTCAAGTAGTCTACATCCATCATAAACAAAGACAGTGTCAAGACAATGGCGAATGGAAATTATAAACTTTTTATACTGTGGTGGCAAACAAGCTTACAGCCCATCTGATGGTAAATCGTAACCGTAGCCTATGGACGCCTGAAACATGATTCCATGTGTGAACAGCCTTAGTTCAGATATTAATTTAATTGACTTGTATATTTCGTCAGAAAATTTGGCTACATGTTACAATTAACTTTGTATTTATCATTTTTTCTTCTAATGTTTAATCAAATTTTTTGTTGTAGTACATATCGAACTAGATGTCGCGGTCTCATTTATGTATAATTCCTACATCGCGATCGCAAGATATTTTTGCAGTCTTAAGTTATGTAATCAGAGAGAGAGAGAGAGAAAGAAAATTTTTTTTTTGTATTTGTCGCACTGTTTGTTATTTCTTTTTTTTTGTTTGTTTAATGTGTGTTTTAGTTTTTTCTTCTACTGAATAAATAACATTTCATTTCATTTCATTATAGGAATATATATTCTTACTACGTAATCTACACAGTGCAGTATCAGTACTATCCTTGAGTTTCAAATACCTATAGGTTCTAAGATCTAGTACAGTTCAGGTCATTAGTACAGCACTATAAATATCTACATATAAAACTATATTTCCTAATAGACCTAATATAATCGTATAAATAATTTTAGTATTATTTAAATAATTTACTAAAGCATTTCAAATATGGTTTAGATTTTGGAACGAAGGTATTTTACGCGGCTTATATAAACTTCATTCCTGATTGGAATCTCTTGACCACACCACAACTGTAACTAAACCAGCATATGGTCCGTCTGATAATGATCAGTCACAAACACAATAAATCAAAATATCTTTATTTATGTAGGTCTATTACAAACTCTTATGATATGTCAAATCTACCATTAGTAATTCGCAGTCTTATCGAGCTAAGAACTGACAAAAAACTCAGTTCTTATTATTTTCAAATGAGCTTATATATGATTACAAACAGATTGAAGTTTAAATTGAATATAGTGACCACCAGCATATTGCATCTTTATCAAAAGGAAATTATTTAATCAATGGCCGTCGAACAATTTTAAACTGACTGATCATATCTACTATTACAATAAATACACTACAAAATGACTTATTCAATTTCAAACTAAGGCTGTTCTCACGATCCACTACGACGGTTGAGTTGGGAAAGCTATATGAATATATGATGGAATGAATCCGATACAAGAAACATCATGCTCACTTCATTGTCGACGTGTTGGCCGAGCTCCTCACCAGAGGTGGGGGTGGCTGCTGACCCATCGCCATTGTTATTGCACTGTTGGGGAACTGAAATAAACGATAAACATTCACATTTTTATGCGGCACAAGATAATCCCAATTCATAAGTGCATGTGCCAAAACAACTCGCATAAATTCAAAATTATTCGAATATCATTTCCTATACTCGTCTAAACTATAAAGAAATATTATAAATACAAAAGTGTGTATACTATCCAGGGGTGGATCGTGAATTTGTGGGGCCCTGGGCTAAAACTACACCGACCAAAAACAAGCGACGAGGAATTTCCCGTTCCATTCGATAGACGCGCACATCCATGGGTTAATTGGTGTCAGAGTTATCAACCTTATGATAGGTTTTTTTAATATTTTAGTTTTTTTAAATCTAAATATCGCCTATAGCCCAATTTACACTCAGCCCGAGTGGGCAGGGAAGTGAGCAGCGCGAGAGTGTAAACGACACTCACTCGTGTCGACTCCCGTCGACGCTGACGCGGTAATATTCCAGCCACCGCGAGTGGCGGGGGAAGAGGCTGAATGTAAACGTAACCGTACGTACCGTACCGTATTTTAAGTGGCTATACCTTTGTGTCTGAAAAAATTTAATATGGAAATTAACGTAATTAATATTTATTTATTACTGGCTACCAGCCCCGGTTTAACACGAGTGTACATGTATTATACACATAAACCTTCGTTTTGAATCACTCTATTTACTGCTACAATCCGTTGCACAGTTTAAAAGATCTACGCGAACAAACAGCGGGTGCCAATGTTTTATAGTATGTAGTGTATTTATTTTCAGAAACTTAATATCGCGAATTTCTTCAATCCTTAATTGTATCACGATTTAATGAGCCAAATTTTTTTAAAACCTAGTAAAAATCAGGGGTCAATTAAACGTGGTAAACGTTTTATTTTTATTGAGTTCCCGACATTTCGACAGTGTTTCAACCGCTGTGATAAGATCCCGTAATTTTAACTAATTAACGTATAAATTACTGCGTCAAATTTAAAACTATATAGAAATATAACATGAAATAGGAAATACCATTTTGTAAATAAAAATACCACTCTCATGAGTACATAATGAAATCATAAGTTCCGAGAATGTATGAAGGCTTGAATATTATGAATTGGTTTTGACGAATAAAAGTGTGGTATATGTTATTGATGATTCATTTGATTCGCATTTTTTAAACCCGAATACAAAAAAGGAGAACGCTCTAAATTCGATCATATATTCTTCACCTTAGATCTCAGTCTTTATGTATACCCGATTTGAAATATTTTTTTTATTCGAATTCAAATTGGTTCTATAGTAATTTCTTGGCCGGTACGGCTAAGGCAATTTGTTCACTGCTGAGGTAATGGAGTGATTATTTTTAGAATACAATGGGATTGACATGTACTTAGATGGTACAAAAGTCCCTAAATTTAAAAAGAAATAAAAAAAAATGTATATTAATTTCACTCAAATTGGGTACGAAGCGGTTCTACTTGCTCTTGTATACCGATTAGAAATGATCTTTTTTTATTCTAATATTTAAATATGATTTCAGATTAGTTTCATAGAAATTTCGCCAAATTTGGGTACTAATCGGTTTTACTTGCACTTCTCAACTATTTACTTTTCAATCAATATTTTATCTAAATCAATAATGTTTTAAATTTAAATGTTAATCTTAGCACATGAAAATATTAATAAAACATATACGACATTATTATATATTGTTTAAGAGGTTTTTCCTATTACTCTGTGCTTAGACCTGTAGCACTGCGACCTGCAGATTTATTGTTTGCCTTTTTTTTAGAGTCGGTGCCTAGGCCCGTCAAGAGCATGAATCGAGGGATATTCTTAGGAGCTATAGTTTTCATCTCCTCAGGATTTTGTATTTTCCAAAGGTGATATTTGGTTTATGCATGTGTGGGCTACAACCACATAAGATGTGTGGGGGAAAGACGATTGTTAGTAATGTGGACTAATAACCCCATTGCTAGCAATGTACTATGTCAGGTTGACCTCCACGTGGTTGCCCCTGGAAATCATCGTCGTAAATTCATGGTTAATTCACCACGATGGGCAAACTGACCTGACCTCATGCATCTTATTACCCTCTCCTAGTCCGCCAGCGTAAACCGTTAGCGTAAACGGGTGCACTATTCCATTATCATCCATAAGGAAAAAAAACAATGTTTAGTGACGTTTATTCTCGATTTGGTAAAATCTCGTTACATTACGTATTATCTATATGGTATATTTTATTTCCATTGTAGTGATTATATATTACAAATTTCAGAAACGTCGATAACGGGTTTTCCTCTTATGAATGGAAAGATACAGCGATACAAGAGAGATAAGGTGATACCGTATTGTATTATTTATACAGTTTTTTTTTACTTTGACAATTATTCTATGCTATTCTGCAGCATTTTTCTTCAAACGATAGCAGAAAACCAATGCAGTCCCCAAATCATAGTTCATAAGCACAAAACTCGACATGTTAGATGTTATAGAAAAATACACCAGGGTATGAAACCTAAGTTGTTGTGTGTTGCCAAACTTCGTCAGCTGTTAGAGGAAGATGGCACTACAGAAGCGGTCTTACGATCTTTAAACTGATAGCGAGCACCATCTGTACGGGATTTCGGTTTCATACTTTTACACCTGGTACAGTATTTATTTTACCAAATATGTTCTACATCTATTAACGTTTTCTTATTATTATTATTTTCGGACTACACTAATGCAGTTGGCTGCAGCTGGCCTTTAAAGGTTCACCGGGCGATAGGGGGCGAGTGCAGATGGCACTCCAAACCAAAGGAAGGACTTATGGAGAGGCTGAAGGCCAACTCCTGCTTGATAGACTTGAGGCCACTAAAGCTAGGGGATCAAACCTCGGCTCAGGCGTAATTTCGATCCCCGTTCGAATTGAACAAGGAATAGTTTCCAGTGGGAGCCGCGTGGAGTTCAACCTGATGTAGTACATAGCTAGCATTGAGATTATTAGACCACATTACTATCAATCCCCTTCCCTCTGGACGAGGAGTGTTATAGGTGCAATAAAGTATATTTTGCTTATAAAAAATGTCAATTACCTGTACATTACGTTGGTGTTGCGAGCGGTGTTGCGGTAACGCTGCAGCGGCCGCCGCGATGTTGTACCGCGCTGCAACCTGCGCTTGTGCTGCCACTTGTGCCTGCAGATCATATCGTTAAGATTTTAGTTTTCGATAATTCTAATAAAATATTCAATTAAAATGTAATAATAATAATAAAAACCATAGACAATAAGCACAGCGTCATCTAGGCCCACAGTAAGCAAAGCTTGTGTTATGGGTGGTACGAGACAACTGATATAAATGCATAGATTTTTTTTGTAAATATATAATTTACATAAAAAATACCTAGACCGATACAAACGATCATGAATATAGTCATGAATGCAAATGTTTGCGCCGCGCTGCGCGTGTGGAATGGAACCCGCAACCATCTGAAGTAAAGCGGTGTGCTAAACCGATAGACCACCGAGGTCGTCAAAATTTAAATAAAAAAACATTTATTCATGTAGGACAATGTTTCCTATGAATAGTAGAATAAAGTATGAATTTACAAAAAAAAAGTATATATAAGTATTTGTCAGTTGTCTAGTACCTATAACACAAGCTGTACTTACCGTGGAGATACTATATGTTAATTGTCCAGGATTATTTATCTTCATTACATAGTATAAAACAAAGTCGCTGTCGTTGTCTGTCCCTGTGTATGCATAAATCTTTAAAACTACGCAATGGACTTTGAAGCGGTTTTTTAATAGACAGAGTGATTCAAGAGGAAGGTTTATATGTATAATACATGCATAATATTGTTGAGAAATACTAAAGTAAGTATTCAGTATCGGCATTGCACCCGGGCGAAGCCGGGGCGGGTCGCCAGTTTATTTATAACTAGCTGTTTCCGCGACTTCGGCCGCGGGGAATTTAACTTTATTTTTCTAAAATAAAAATAGTTAAAGTTTCTCCTCATGACAAAATTCGCCCAGCCATTTCAGAGATTAGCCGGAACAAACAGACAGACATACAAAAATGTACCGTATTTATATTCATATGCATGTAGTAAAAAACGATTATTTCAATATTACAAACAGACACTCGCAATTTTATTCATACGTATAGATTATAGAGTGACCTGCGCGAGCCTGAGCACTTGCTGCGTCTGCGCCTGCGTGAGCGTGCCGGGCAGGCTCCAGCTGTTGGCGAGCGCCTGTACAGCGGCGGCGGAGATGCTCGCGTGCGGCATCTGCATCGCAGCGGAGGGCGGCGCGTGACGCTGGGCGGCGGCGCGGCGGCCCCGCGTGCTGCCGCCCACGCCCGCGCCCGCGCCCGCGCCCGGCGGCGGCGCCGGCGGCGCCCTAGTCCACTGTCCGCCTCCGCCCACAGACCCTGCGCACGACCACACTTATCAAATTACATTTATTGTTTATAGTCCAATCAAAATAAACATTTAAGTTAGCCAAAATTCGCATAGAGCTGAAAATTGGTATAGACGTTAAATAAACCATTACAAATGAAATGTCAAAAATCCCCTTGGAACCTACTTCTGCAAATGTGGTTTTACAGTGATGGTTTAACATAATTAACATATATTATTAGGTGTACAACTTTGCTTCCGCCGTTTTTTTCCGAAATTCGAGGCTTTATTGTAAAAAACTGGTGGGTAAGCGTACGAATCCCGAGTTAAAAAAAACTGGTCATCTTTTGAAGCGATCCACGAATCGATAGAATTTTATACTTTTTCATAAGAATGGAAGTGCTGGTCAGCCAGGCCGGGTGCCATTGATCAAAGCAAGTGATAGTCTGAGGGAGCAAGGTCTGGAGAATACGGCGGGTGGGGTAGGATTTCCGATTTCAACGTTTCTAAGTATGTCTTGACCACTTCGCAACATGGAGTCGAGTATTGTCAGGTTGTAAAATCACTTTATCATGTCTCTGGTTGTATTGCGGCCGTTTGTCTTTTAATGCCAGGCTAAAACGCATTAATTGCGTTCGATAACTATCGCCTGTGATCGTTTTAGTCGGTTATAACAACTCATAATGCACTACGCCGAGCTGATCCCATCAAATACTGAGCATAGCCTTGGAACCGTAAATATTCGGTTTGGCCGTCGACCTGGAAGCATGGCCGGGATATCCCCATGGTTTTCTGTGCTTGGGATTATCGTAATGAACCCATTTTTCGTCCCCAGTCACAATGCGATGCAGAAATCCCTTCCGTCTTTGTTTTGCAAGCAGCTGTTCACAAGCAAACAAACGCCGTTCAACATCTCTCGGCTTCGATTCGTACGGCACCCAATTTCTTTGTTTTTGAATCATTCCCATGACTTTCAGGCGTTTTAAAATGGCTTGTTGATCACTCCCAATGATCCTGCCAATTCTTGTTGCGTTTGACACGAGTCTTGATCAAGTAATGCCTCCAATTCTGCATCTTCGAAAACCTTCTCTCTTCCACCGCCATGCTGGTCTTCGACGTCAAAATCATTGTTCTTGAAGCGTTGAAACCACTCTCGGCACGTTCTTTCACTAATAGCTGCCTCATTATAGGCATTTGAGAGCATTAGATAAGCCTCAGCCGCAGATTTCTTCATATTAAAGCAGAAAATTAAAACCTCCCGCAAATGACGAGAATTTGGCTGGTAAGCTGACATGTTTAGTAGAGAATAACTTTGTGATGCAGACACAAATCGACTAATATTTCGATGGCGTTATGTTTACAACTACCTAAGCTTATTGTATGACATCTACGATCTATTTATTTCGACTACCATTTACCGCTACAGCCATCTATTTCAAAACGGCGGAAGCAAAGTTGTACACCTAATAGTTCAACACATTAAGTCATTTCTGACATACAATAGACAACATGTGTCATTTCTCAGTTGTAACATACATGAAATAACTAAAAATTTCCAATTTTAATTATTTAAATTTACATGTTCTCAATATATTTATACCCAAAATATTAGTCAATACAGACAGTCAAATTTGATTACATGAAATTATTAAATTTAATTTTTATTTATAATATAATTAAATATAATAATTTCAATATTTAATAAAATATTCTTGTGGACAAGAAGGACATACATAAGAGGCGAGTCTCTACATCACTTCCCCCTTTTTTCTAAAAGATTTTCATTAGTACATATACCTGTAGCGTTTTGGTGCTACTGAAAGTAAGCGGCATAACATTACATTCACATTAGACATTATGGTACGTCTAACCTAAGCTCAAGAGTCATTTCAGTTTATGCAGGTTTCGTGTTTATACCTCCAAAACGGCTTGACCGATTTGGATGAAATTTTATATGTATATTCAGTACGAGTGTAACAGTTGTTAAATGTATTTTTTTTTTAACTTTACACATTTGGTAAACAAACCAGATCTTTTTCAAAATAACAGCACTGAATCATTGAAAAACACTTGTGACATTTATTTATGACTGCTTTTGTTATACCTTATTTAATATACAAAGATGTCACTGTGATATAAAGAGTTGTATATTCCATATATGAAGAATGAAGTATTTTCTTTTATATATTTTTTATTGAATAACAATCGACTCTGTTGTATACGTAGGTCGACAAAAGTACCAATAAATACTTTTGATTTTGAAAATGTTATATTTATTATAAGTACTACATTATATTATTGCGTTTTTGTAATCTTATTTGACAATGAGTAATTTATTTTAGCCGTCGGCGAAAAGGAGTGTCATAAGTATGACCGTCATGTCTGCCTGTGACATCGTATCTCCTAAATGAATAGACTGATTATTGTGCAGTTTTTTAGAAAACTGACTTGAACGAGATGACTCTTGGATACAATTTTTTTATAGGTTTTTTTATTCGAGGGTTACTTAATTATATTAAATGAGTAATTCTGTATGTTTATGAAAAGAAATACAGTTTATATATAAACTTATTTACACTTTATTCAACTAAACATGAGATATTGCATGTGTGAATAGGCACAATAGACGACCTCAGCGATACAACTAATATATTTTATAAATTCTAAATAATTAGATATCTTATTATAACATAAATATCTTGTAATATATCTGTTATAAACTCTTTAGTATTAATAAAATACATGATGTGTCTTTTGACGTACATTCTCATCAATGAATTCAATAAACTGTTACTACCAACTATAAATCTTTATTTTAATCTATAAAAATATCGACGTAGATTTTGTAGAGAATCGTTAGAATGTCTACAATTCTGCCACCTGCCAGCTTGCTTAGTAAGTGGAGGTACTATTGTAATTATTTGTACTACACCCCTACAATTACACAGTACGAAGGCATGACATAGCAATGCATGAGGTGGCTTGGGTTTACGAGCCTGGAGACCTTGGAGATGTATTAGCAACGGTTCTCACTTGGCGTTAAGTGGACCTTCAGATTCCTTGAAATTTCCAGTCACATCTCTCTATATCCAAACTTTCGTGGCTCTTGAGACTTGTGATCTAATGTCTTCGCCACGTCTCCATTCTGCACGATTAGCCACGCAGTCACCACCATTTCCAGGCCCTCTACCACCTGTGCCGTCCAGCGCTTTGTACAGCTGACCTGTCACCATAAACTTCTCGAGATCTTCAGAGAAACATTTCGGACATATATTTAAAGATAACTTTTCTTCGAGATATATGTCCAAAATGTTTGAAGATTCGGTGCAGGCAGATGATTCCAAATATATAAACACTTGCTGACTAAAGAAAGCTTCGTCCGTGAAAATACTATTTGAATGAATAGTCCATTCATCAATTCATCAATCACAATATTTACACACAGTACGAAATATCAATCTATAAAATCGTTTAATAATTTACCATTAAATTTAAGAACTGTTTACAATTTCACATTGTTTAAGACTAGATTGAGGGCATTTTTATTGAATAAATGTTACTATTCTGTAGATGACTATTATAATGATGACCATAAAGACTTATAAGGACCAATTGGCCGTCGAATATCCGATTTACATATGTGTACACTTAATAACAATTACAGCTACATGATGAGACTAACTTCTTAGCACTCTATAGATTCTCTGTGCGGGTGCCGGGTCCATGTGGCAGAGGAACTCCGAGCATTTCCTGGGACTTGTGACTCAGGTGTAGGTTTAATATTGAAGGAGCCCATTTGATATATAATATATGGATATACTTTTGTACTTTTTCGTTATTAGCTGGCAATGTCTTTGCCTACCCTATCCAGGATAACAGTCGCGAATGTATATTTTAATCATTAATTAAGAAGCTACTAGTGATTATATAATTTTTATGAGCTATTATGTAATTATTGGTCAAGATAATGCGATTTCAACACAAATTTTGTAATCAAGTAGGAACTACTATTACATAATAATGAAAATGTTGGTACGTTTATAATCTAATAAATATAACTGATAATAATAATAGTGTTTTTAATATGATTTTTTAAAGTTTTACCAATCACTGTTGCGTATCTTTTAATAAAAGATAAAAAAAAGAAATAGAATTTCATACTATTTCCTTCATCTCTTTTTCCGTGAAAACTTAACAAATAAACAGATTTCGCCCAGTCACAATTGTAAGATAATAAAATTATGTATAATAAAGTAATAGTAATAGTAGTAATTTTATTATTATCTTTATGATAATAATGATAATTAAAGTATTTACAACTTGCAGTCACATGGTCAGTCAAGTCGCGTGACCATGGCTAGTGCAACCTGGTCGTATAGCAGTATAGCATGAGGTAAACATATACATAATACATGTGTATGCATACTAAATGCAAAAGTTTAAAAATACAATCCTAATTCCGTGTTCCCCTTTTCGGAGGGAGACAAGAGCTACGAGCCCCATCTTATTGATGCCTACAACTTGTAACTGCGTCGCACATGTGGCCAATGTGTTTAGCCCGGGAGATAGTGATTGTCAGTATGGGGACTAGTGCCATATAACTACTTATGTCAGGTCGACCTCCACGTAGTCCTCTTGTAACCATGGTGGCTACTTCTCGACGATTTCACTATAACGGCTATCTGACCAGACTTCATGCTATTATCCTCCACCGATGCCCCACCAGCGTATACAATTCGCGCAAATTGGCGCAACATTCCATTACGATCCATTATAAAATTGCTAGCAATGTAGTCAAATCAATCACCACATGTTACGGCCCTGGAAACCATCGTGAGTATTTCCTGGTCAATCAGCCACAGCGGGCTACCTGAAACGACTTCATTCACATTTCCATCATAAATCTGTAACTAGCAACAGTCAAATCGCCAAAGCGGGCTACCCGGTACCAGTTCATTCTCATTTCAATCACAGATCTGTAGCTAGATGAAGCGACGACATATGGAATACTAGAAGCCAAACGTTGAATGTT